TACATTACAGTTTAACAGATGTTCACATAGAAAACAGCTGTTTTAGACTGCAATAATATTTCAGAATTTTTACTGTATTTTTGTATGTAATTATTCCAACATTTTGCAGCAAAACTGAAGTGCATAAAAGAGAGAGAGGGAATAAAAGAGCGACACAGTGGGAAAATCCGGCTTGTTTTCAGCGTAATGTTTCTTTCTGAGCTCGTTCTCTCTGCGTCCCTCAGAATAACTGGGTCCCACGGCGCGGAGATCAGGGGCCGAAGACCATCGAGCAGATCCACAAGGAGGCGGAGCTAGAGGAGCACCGAGAGCAGGTCAAAGTTCAGCAGCAGCTCCTCTCCAAGAAGGGCAGTGCAGGAGGAGGAGGGGGAGGAGGGGTGGGGCCCCGTGGAGGCCCCCACACACCCGGTTCCCGTGGCAACCAGGCCCCTGACGACGGCTGGAACATGGTGCCCATTTCCACCAAGAACAGACCCATCGACCCGACGCGCCTCAGCAAGATCACCAAGGTCTGATCCACCTCCAATACATTTATTATTGATTATTGCTAAAGTCTGATCTATAAATAATCAATAAGAAGGTATTTCAGTCCACTGATTTCAACTGTTAGTGGATTTACTGTAGCAACTCTGGCAGAAATATTATATTCGTACTAAATATTACTATATACTGTTGTATTATTTATATACTATTACAGTTTTTTATTAATGTTATGAATTAACATTTATTTTTATACTTTCTGTTTTTAGTTTAATTTCTTTCTTTGAAATCTTTGTGTGCTTTGGTCATTTTTAGCAGTTTATGGTTTTAAAAAATATTATTTAGTTCGGTTCTAGTTTTAAGTGCATCAACCTAAGCTTGTTTTAGTTAGTTGCCAAAGCAACATTACTGCTGCTAGTTTTCATCATTGTTCAGTAAAAAAAAAATAATAATGTTTTTAATGGTTTTAGTTTTAGGTAACAATAATTGATAAAAGTGTTATATTATTAATATAATTAATTTATTAAAATATATATTATACAAAAATATAATTGATGTGTGGGGTATTATTTATTTATTTTTTTTTCAACTTGAAGTTTGTAAATGTCTTTAAACGATTACGTTAGGTTGCAGTTTTTTTAAGATTATGAACATTATTTTAATTTATTATTTAATTTATTTCAGTAATTTAATAACACTCGCATGTTCACAGTTCTCTGATGTCATCTTATATTGAATAATTTTTAGTTCATGTTTTTTATTTTAAATATTTACATTATTTTGAAATATTTTAAATTTACGTTTTTATGATTTAATTCATTTTTTGCTTTTCGTCGACTCACAAAATCCCTGCATTTTGAATCAGTTTTAATTTTTCTGCTTTCTGTTTTCATTTTAAAGTATTAGTCATTTTGTTGGGTTTTTGTCATTTTATTGCATTTGGGCTTCTTTTTTTTTATACATGTCTATATAGCATTTATACATTTTTATTACAGTTTTTGTTTTAGTTATTTAAAGTTCAGTTAAATAAAAATACGTTTTTTTTTTATTTTAATATGAGAAATAAGTTTTTTTTTTATATATATATATATATATATCTTATTTTTTTATTTCACTTAACATTTAATTTAAGTATTTCTGTTTGTTTGAATTCTATCTGTTAGAAAATATAATATAATTAATATATATAATTTTTGCTTTTCGTCGACTCACCAAATCCCTGCATTTTGAATCAGTTTTTATTTTTCTGTTTTAATTTTCATTTTAAAGTTTTAGTAATTCTCTTGTGTTTTTGTCATTTTTATTTTTTAAATTAATTTGTATTTATTTTTAGTTATTTTATTACTTTAAACTAAAAAAAAAAATAATATTGTATATTGAATAATTTTTAGTTCATGTTTTTTATTTTAAATATTTACATTATTTTGAAATATTTTAAATTTACGTTTTTATGATTTAATTCATTTTTTGCTTTTCGTCGACTCACAAAATCCCTGCATTTTGAATCAGTTTTAATTTTTCTGCTTTCTGTTTTCATTTTAAAGTATTAGTCATTTTGTTGGGTTTTTGTCATTTTTAGTGCATTTGGGTTTGTCTATATGGCATTTATTTATTTTTGTAGTTATTTAAAGTTTGGTTAAATAAAAATATTTTTTTTTTATATATTTTCTTTTTAATATGAGAAATAAGTTAGTTTTTTTTATATCTTATTTTTTATTTCACTTAACATTTATTTTAAGTATTTTTTGTTTATGTTTGAATTCTATCTGTTTGATAAACTCTGACTTGCTCTCAGTATCACCGCTGAACACTAATGCTGTGTGTGTGTCGTGCAGCCGGGCGCTTTGGACTTCAGTAATCAGCTTCTTGCCCCCGGAGGCAAAGGCTCGTGGGGCACTTGGGGCAAAGGCAGCAGCGGGGGCTCCGGAGCCAAACCCAGCGACAGCAGTGAGTTTTTATTTTAAATATTTACATTATTTTGAAATATTTTAAATTTACGTTTTTATGATTTAATTCATTTTTTGCTTTTCGTCGACTCACAAAATCCCTGCATTTTGAATCAGTTTTAATTTTTCTGCTTTCTGTTTTCATTTTAAAGTATTAGTCATTTTGTTGGGTTTTTGTCATTTTTAGTGCATTTGGGTTTGTCTATATGGCATTTATTTATTTTTGTAGTTATTTAAAGTTTGGTTAAATAAAAATATTTTTTTTTTATATTTTCTTTTTAATATGAGAAATAAGTTAGTTTTTTTTATATCTTATTTTTTATTTCACTTAACATTTATTTTAAGTATTTTTTGTTTATGTTTGAATTCTATCTGTTTGATAAACTCTGACTTGCTCTCAGTATCACCGCTGAACACTAATGCTGTGTGTGTGTCGTGCAGCCGGGCGCTTTGGACTTCAGTAATCAGCTTCTTGCCCCCGGAGGCAAAGGCTCGTGGGGCACTTGGGGCAAAGGCAGCAGCGGGGGCTCCGGAGCCAAACCCAGCGACAGCAGTGAGTGTGTCACGCCTGTGATTGTGTTGTGCACCACATGAGACTCTGAGCTTTGTTTACATGTGTTTTCCAGCCCAGGATTCTGGTCGTACCAGCACTTTGAACCGCTTTTCAGCACTTCAGCAGCCTTCCTCCTCTTCATCTTCATCATCATCCACCAACATCGACTCTGACAGGAGGGTTCCTCACAGGTCAGAGGTCACGCTCCGTTTAATACGGATATAGAAATGGGGGGGGGGGGGGTTTCTGGTTGGACCGGGATTCTAGTTAACCAAAAGTAAAAGAAAAAAAAACACATGTGTTACTTGAAATAATATACAATATAAAATATTTAAAAAAAAGGAAAAGTAAAAAAAAAAAAAAAAAACTAAAACATTGTTAAGTAAAAAAGACCAAGACAGAGGTGCATATAAAGACATTTATATTGCATATAACACATCTGTATCATTATATAAACCAACATGTCTTTATTCACAAAAATACTGATAATAGCCATGTCTTCTTTCAAGTTTAATTTAGGCCTCAAATTGAAAAAAGGGGGGGGGGGGTGTTTCTGGTTGGACCGGGATTCTAGTTAACCAAAAGTAAAAGAAAAAAAAACACATGTGTTACTTGAAATAATATACAATATAAAATATTTAAAAAAAAGGAAAAGTTAAAAAAAAAAAAAATTTGTAATTATTAGAATGTCTTGCTGTAAATTAGTACATTGACATTTAAAAAAAAAACAATTTGTCCTGGAAAAATATTAGAAATTTTATCAATTTTAAGATTGTGTATAATTGTTACTTGCTTTATCTTGTTTGTTTGTAAAAGTATTTCTAAAATATTTAAATAAAAATTTTAAATATTTAAAAAATATATATATTTTTAACTGTACATATGGCATAAAAGGATAAATAAATAGACAAATACATCAAACTATTCAAACTTTAAAATTGAAGTCAGTGTATAAAAAAATAAAAACAAATTCAAAATATTAATAAAACCTATGTCACATGATGTGCAGGTAAACAGATATATTTTTAAAATTGTTATTTTATGTTTTAAATATATGTATAATATTTACATCATTGCTTTGCAGTTCTTGAAGCATTGTTATTAAGACTATTTTAAATGTTATTATTCTTGAGTTTGCCATGAATATAGCCTTTGATGCTGAAATTAAAAACAAAATAGAAAAATATAAATATAAAAAATATACATTTTATCTAAATATAAATATGTGAGCCTGCAGCACAAAAGCAGTGTTAAGTCGCTGGGGTATATTTGTAGCAATAGCCAACAATACATTGTATGGGTCAAAATTACAGATTTTTCTTTTATGCCAAAAATCATTAGGATATTAAGTAAAGATCATGTTCCATGAAGATATTTTGTAAGTTCCCTACCGTAAATATATCAAAACTTAATTTTTGATTAGTAATATGCATTGCTAAGAACTTCATTTGAACAACTTTAAAGATAATTTTCTCAATATTTAGATTTTTTTGCACCCTCAGATTCCAGATTTTCAAATAGTTGTATCTCGACCAAATATTGTCCTATCCTAACAAACCATACATCAATGGAAAGTTTATTTATTCAGCTTTCAGATGATGTATAAATCTCAATTTTGAAAAATTGACACTTAAGACTGGTTTTGTGCTCCAGGGTCACTAATAAAACATATTCAAAGTATGAACAAAAACTGCAATATTAATAAAATAGCAGCGTTCTAGCGTTCTTTTGTGCTTCTGCTGATGGTGTATCCCTGTGTGTGTTTCTCAGGAGCAGTTCCAGTCGGGAACGCAGCGAGCGGTTCGACTGGCGGGATGAACGCATCTATGACCGCGGATCAGACCGGATGGACCGGAACCGTCCTGCGGCCGGCAAGCGCAGCTTCAGCCGTGAAAAGGAGGAGAGGAGTCGGGATCGAGAGATGGTGCGACGCGTCTCCAGCATCACAGACGAGCGCGAGAGAGAGCGAGAACGCGGTACAGTGAACCGGGGTCAGAGGTCACGGGTTTAGTGACCGCGAGCATTGTGCAGTACAGGGTCATTACGGTTATTTTGATTTCATTTTGTAGTTTAGCTTAGTTTGAAGTCATTTTATGCATTATTTATTTAATAGTCTCTCTTTTTAGAAGGATTTATTTTTCTAAGTAATCGTGATTTTTATTTGAGCAATCTAATTAGGGTTGGGTACCAATATGGCACCGGTACCCATGTAACCAGTATGCACTAGAATCGAACCCAAACGCAGATTTCAGTGCCATGCCTGAGCGATCGATTGAAATATTTGTCCTCTGGTTCTCCGAAACAGACGTAAGAAGCATCATCACCGGCACCGCACGTGAAAAATAATTCCCCGACTGAGAAAATGCACGTGAACTCAAGTCGGAAAGCTCTAATAATACAAATCCAACACATCTTTGTAGTAACGCGAGTGTCCATGTTGTTTCAAAAGCACAACTCGGGAAACGAGAGCATCGAGGAGCACGTGAATGCAGTAATCACACTTGCTCTGACTGCAGCAGCTTCTGTTAACTAAGCTAAACATGCTTAAATTAAAACGCCTAAAGCTAAACCTCCCTTGTATTCACATTTCTAAACCTGTTGTCCAACAAAAGAGAACATTATAACCTTTTTACTCCACAACACCAGTCAAATGCTTCCTTTTGTGATCTGATG